AGAGAGAGAGAGAGAGAGAGAGAGAGAGAGAGAGAGAGAGAGAGAGAGGATCTTTTGGAGCTAGCTCCTGTGAGCCAACCATAACAAAGGCTTCCCAAGGAGGTCCAGGCCACCTCATAACATTTTTGCTGCCTCCCTCATCTGTCATCCTGAAATGCCACTGAGACTGACTCAAAGAACAAGGTCAGTTTTTGTTTTTGGAGACAGCAGGGTAAATCTTACAGATTTGGAACTATTTGGCAAGTAAAGCTGCTGGGTGATTTGGATGCCACCTGGCCAAAAAAAAAAAAAAAAATTGAACTTTTGCAGTTTGGGTAATTTTTCCCCCTTCTTATCTTTTAATTCCTACCTGCTCTGTCCACAACCAGCTCAACAGCAAATTAGCAATTTGGATGCCACAGATGCAGTTTAGATGTGGGTACTAGCCAAGGTCATGAGGCTGAGTGGCTAAGTGCGTGCATGCCAGCTATATTCCAGACAGGATTTTCAGGGCCAGAGAGGCAGAACCAGGCTTTTCTTCTTTGTCTACACACACAGACACAGACACAGACACAGACACAGACACACACACACACACACACACAGATGGAGAGAGACAGACACACACATATAGACACACACAGACACACACACACACACAGAAGGAGAGAGACACACAGACACACACAGAAACACACACACACATAGATGGAGAGAGACAGACACACACAGAGGGAGAGAGACAGACAGACACATACACACACAGAGGGAGAGAGAGAGAGAGAGACAGACAGACAGACACACACTTTCTATTTTAATTTCCTGCTTCTAGAAAGAATGAGAGGACAACTGTCTGTATGTGGGTCCCTTCCCTTGGCCCCTCTCCTTATGGAAACACAAACTCTACACATGGACAAGCCAAGGTAAAAACAGGCAGCATGGAGCCAAAGAGTAAAACTATTAGAAATAATAAAAAGACCAGAGGGAGCTGCAAAAGTCAACAAACCTTTTCAAAATTACATCCCACCCAAACATAGATATTAATACACCTAACAAACAATGAGACCCCAATGTGAGCAAATTCATTTATTATCATGCTAAACAGAAACATCTGTATCATGCTATCTACCTTCCCATCCAGATTTACTAGATAAATTCGTTATGTGTAGTCTATTTCTACAGTGGCTCCGTGTTCATGTACACTTGAGCATGTAGGATGTCCCATGACACAATTCTCCATGCAGGCACCTTGGTGCAGCTCACAGTCTGTCCCAGTTTTTTATTCTACACATTTAACATCAGTTCTTTGTGTTATGGCCCTAACTGCTATGTTCCAGTATTTAAAAAAAAAAAAATCGATCAAAACTGGAAAACTAAAATAAGAGAAAAGAGTGGGTTTAAATCAGACATTTTAATTATTCTATGAGTTGTCGTCTATTTAGGGTGCTTTACAAAGGGGTCTACATAGCTTGGCCTCTCTAAAACCCTAAGATACTCTGTAGGTAGTAGATTTATGAACATGAATCCTTCACTCACCAAGCATTGTTTGTTGGGAATCTGCTGTGTGCCAAGGATGGAAGGCAGATCTGAAGACAGTGCATAAGGAATGTGGTCTGCAGGAATTCACAGAGCACAAAGGATGCAGCTAATCAGTCAGGGGTGATGGGAGTTGCAACTCAGGTAGAAAGCACAGAATGTAGGGGGGGGTGTTGATTCTAGGAAATATCTGACCTCCACGCTGCTCTCTGGGCAAACGTGTTCATGAGGAGCAGATGGTGCTATTTTGATAGATTAATTGCAGGTAGCCAGGTATCAAAGATGATGTGGAGGTTGGGTACTAGAGAATGTATCTAGAAATTGATATGTTTAAACAACCTTAGTATGGGTCCAAGTAGAACCTCATTTGGATGTAGGCTGGGGGCTGGTCTTAAGGTAATGAGGAAGTTGCTAGAGTCAGCTGGGACAGAATCCCATCTCCTTTACTTAGAAGCTAAGCATCCTTCCTGGGCCTATGTGTCCTGGTCCATAAAACGAGGCTATTTGCCACAGCCTTTTGTAGGGGACTACCATGAGAGTTAAATGTAAGTAAATATGTCTCCCGTACTTAGACCTGTGCCTAATGGTCTCTTGTGTTAGCTATAGCATACTGTAGTCTCTATGATTAACTAAGGGAAACAAATAGAGCAGAATTAGATGCAGTAAACAAACACTTCCTTTCTCATCCCATAGTATGAAAATGGGAGCAAGAGGAATATCAAGTGGACCAGGAGACTGGGGCCTGGCCATGATGACCTACTGATGGCTCACCGGCTTCTGACTGTGGCTATCTAAACAGAGGCAGGAACCTGTCTGTGGTGAGTGTCTGCACGTTACTCTGCAGAACCTTCTGAGTCTTAGGAGAATTGCATTCTCCCTAAGTTTGGAAAAAGGCTCTGTGCCACCCTATTTCCCGTGGCCCAGACTTCCTTCCACAGCCCACATTCATTTTCATCGTGCTCCGTACCTGACAGGATAGAGGGGGGTTCCAAGTAATTCCTGAGCTCTTTCCTTTTGATTTGAAACACGCATGCTCACACCTACATGCCTACTCCACTCTTCCCAGAGTCCCAGGAAGGGCTGAAAAGTCCACTTTGGTTGATGCCAGGTTTGGGAATTGCCACAGTTGCTCCAAGGAGCCCAGAGATTTCTAGTCAGAGGACAAGGGCTCAAGTAGTCTGTTTTCCTGCAGCTCTGACAGGTCGGCAAGGCCAGCTGAAAGCCCATCCTAAGCAATGACCTCAAACCTGCAACCCAGATACCACAGCTGCACTCTTGGAAGCAGGTCTGTTTCCCTAGAATATCTGGTTACAGCATTTTAAAAATGAGCAAGCTCATTATCAGTAGTGTTTCTGAGAACCCAGCATTCTTTTCGAAAATGCCAGCTCTCCAGGGACGGCAGGAGCTGCAGAGCAAACACATTCTCGTGCTACCACCCACTCCTTTAGGCTTCAGGCAGCCAAGCTCAACAGCCTAGCCTCGCAATAGTGAATAGCAGGATTCAGATCCTATTAAGGAGCACTGGGTGATGAGGGACAGAGTGAGTCCTTCTTCCCAAAGAATAAGAGGGACTTTTGAACGTGGTGAGATCAGCAGTGCTTTTTTAAAGAGCCCTGGATTCAAACCTGCATGTTATTTTCCAGCTCTGATATGTACTTGCTGTGTTATTTTTCACCAAATATTTAAATTTTCTCAGCCTTAGTTACTTCCAAAGATAATCATTATAAAGAGCAAATGGAATAATATGGTGATATTTTATTTGTACTGAAATGTGATTTGTATGTTAATAAATAAAATTGCCTGGAGGTCAGAGCTAATAGCAAGCCATAGCAGAGCCCAGCGTTGGTGGCACATGCCTTTAATCCCAGCTCTTGGGAGGCAGAGCCAGGAGAATCTCTGTGTGTTCAAGGATACAGCCAGCATGGAGACACATGCCTTTAATCTCAATACCAACCATATAAGACCTGGAGGTCTGTACAGACAGGCAATGACGAGGCGGTCATGTGGTTGGGTTTACAACCAATGAGAAGGCAGAACAGAAAGTCTATATAAAGACAAACACACAGGAAGTAGGTCTCTTGGCTGAAGAGGATAGCTGCAGAGTGAAGGGTAAGGCTCTTAGCTCTGACCTCTTGGGCTTTCATCTTTGCATTGGCTCTGTGTTTCTTATTTAATAAGAATGTTACTTCTATAGAATAATACATGGGAAGAAAGTCTGGCAACTTAGAATGCAATCAGCAGTTATAAAGGAATAATCATATTCTTCTTACTATGTATGTCCCATATGTATGTGACTGTGTATCTCGGTCAGGTCATGCCCCTATAACAAAAGGGACCAAGTGGCTTGAACAACAGATACTGAGTTTTTACAGTTCTGGGAACCAGACACATGGGATGGGGGTGACAGCATGGTTGTTGTGTGGCAGGTGATCTCTTCCTCATGTGGTCCAGAGCAGAGAAAGGAAGCAAATCCTTTCCCTTTTCTTCTTAAAAAGGTAATAATCCAATCATGAGCACTCTCTCCTCACAACCTAATAATCTCTCAAAGGGTTGGCTGTCCAAATAACCATCACATTTATATTTGGCATATACGTATCTGGGGTAAGCAAATCCACAGCAGAGAATATGTCATCCCTCTAAGAAGAGTGAAGTGCTAACTTTTATATAAGTACAAATCATTTATACCCTTGGAGACCTCTGGGAAAGCAGCCCTGTTCTTCCCTAGGTCACCCAGGACCCCAGCTCCTTATTAGACATCAGATTCTGGTATTCATTCTGGCTGAAGCAGGCTACGGTGCTTGGCTGGGTGATGTGACAGGAGAGACGGTAGGTAACAGAATGTGTGCCAAGTTCCTGCCATGCCTGGGGAGCTGGGAAGCCTTAGTTGATTAGATTATGGTATTTATCATGTATGATGTGGGGAATTGGGTATTGCATTTAAGTGTGCGTGCATGCGTGCTTGTGCGTGTGTGCGTGTGTGTGTGTGTGTGTGTGTGTGTGTGTGTGTGTGTGTGTGCCTATCTGTGTGCATGGAAACTAGAGGTTGACAATGGATGTCTTTCTCCATTGTTTTCCACCCTGTTTTTCTTGAGACAGAGTCTCTCACTGAACCTAGAGCTCACCAATTCAGCTAGATTTACTGGCCAATGAGCTCTCGGGATCCTCCTGTCCTCATCTCCCCGGCCCGGGGGTTACAGACACAAGCTGGCAACACTAGCTTTGCGTGTGGAGCTGGGGCTTGAACTCAGCGACCTCCTGCTTGTGCAGCAAGCATTAAAGTGACGGGGCCACCATCTCCCCAGCCCTGCCCTTCCTTCCATTTCAAATACACGTACGTCTGCACATGAACATGAATTTAATGAGTGTGAGTGGTTCATCTGCAAAGTATGACTATATTCTTCCAGGAGAGGAAGCTCACCAAGATTCCAGTGTTTGAGGAAACTCTATGGGGCACTTGAACTTTTTCTGGAGAGGTGCTCAAATTC